CATTCCTGTTTAAAACCTGTATTTTTACATTTATAAAATTTAGGCTAAGGTTCAATTAGAGTAATAGAGAATCTTTCCCTTATACGCTCCTTGAAGAATTATGCTAACTAAAATGACGAGTACAGCACACAGGAACTAACATGCACTGTTTTCACTCAATTGAAGCCTAACACATCTGTTTAAAACAATAACCAATATCTTTAAACAATTCAATAATTAATTAACAGATGAAAACAGTTGTCCTCTCCTGCAAAAGCTCTTGACTTTAACAGGTTTAGTTTTTTCACTGCAATTCAAATCCAGAGACCAACACTGAAATGACACCTCAAGGTGACAATGCTGAAAAATTCACTGCTCAACTCAATTTCCGTCGTCCGCTTTCTAACAATACTTAGACAATAGTTTCAGAACTGAACTTTTGGTGTAAGCAGCTAGCAGATGTAGCATTTCACCAAAAAATCTTACAATAAAAAACTAAGTGAAAGTTAAAAAATTAACCTTTTTTTTATCAGGGTTCCTGTAACACATATGATCATACATTCAGCCAACATAAACTTAAATTAGATGAGGCAGCAAAAGCACAAGATACCTTTCTTCCACGTCTTCTTTGCAGATTATATAGTCTGCAATTCTACAGAGGTTCTTTCTCTGCTCTCTTCCCCCACTGGATAATAGGAATAATTTCTATAATCTTCTTTCAGGATGCTGAAGCCAAGTATATTCTCCAGAGTAACATAGGGAATGCAATGATACTTTCTGCAACTATAAACAGAGTAGGTGACTTTCAGCCACTGTCAGAGAGCTCTGTAAAATGACACAAATCTTGATTTGTAGCTCTTTTGCCTCTCCTGCCCTAAAAATCTGTACATTAGTCCAGCAGAAGGAGAAAAACTACCAATGTAAAGAAAAAGACATCTCCTATAATGCGTAACTTCTGGCTTCTTGTGCTGTTCATTGAAGAAGTATGGCCAGTTATAAACTCGTACTATTCTTGTGTTTCTGAGGACTGATCAGCAGTTTCTGTCAAATTACATAACCCTCCTTCTGAAGTTGCACACCACACTGCTCAGTTTGTTTACCTCAAGGTTACTAAAGAATATTAAGAAACAGTAAAGACCATATGTGAATGGGAGAGGTAAGAGTCATTCTAACATGCCAGCAGATTTTTGATCAAATTCCATCCTTACTCTAATAAAAGCAGAGTACAGAAAGTGTGAGCTTGCAAAAGAAGGTGCTAACAGAAATTTGAACATGGAAGAAAATCAACATCTCAAAAAGGAAGATAATGAAATATTTTTCTTTGTTGCATCCAGTATTTTCACATTTGCAGTATACCTAAAATTCTACCTGTCCAGTTTTGATACATTTCAGAAAATAATGTTATTGTGAAAGTTCCAAAAATCACACCAAACTCACAAGTAAAAATGAAACTGGATGTTGCTTTGTCACAACAGGAAAAAAAACACTTGCCTTCTATTTCTCTGAATATCTCTTATCCCCACAGAAAGCCTGTGCAATTTAAAGCTGAACTGCATTCATTAACACCTCTACAAAAAGCCTAAGAAGTTGCTGAATGCGGTAAAGGGATGATGTGTTCTTCCTGATCTAATGGCTGCACAAAAAGCCTATCCTTGAATTTACCTCAGAATTAAAAACATCAGTAGCATTTTTATGCGTCCCAGTTATATACCTTTATTTGTTCATTAACAGTAGAACCACCTCTTTAAAATATGAAAGAGCAGTTATTTTTTATTGTTAAGATACAATGAAAAGCTCTGCAAAGCCTTTGATGTGCCATGGTGTTGGGCAGGCCTATACCATCTCTGCAGGTCTCTGGTGTGTGGTTTGGGTTCTTAACATCTGCAAGGTATGTAGCATTTTTAGCAAGATGCTCTGTATATCAGCAGAAAAATGTGTTCAATACTGTAGCTATTGCAGTAGATGTGAAGGATAGATATCTAATGCTTCAGCCAGTCAAAAAACCAAATTGTCATACTGACCACTTTATGAAAACTTCCCGTTTTGTTCAACTGCCAGCAAAATCAGATGACCTGGGTACTAAAGGCTTCATGAGATGAAAAATTTGTCACTGCAGCTGTAACTCCCTGAAATTCTAATTGCTTCTTATTGAAGAGATAATAACATTATATAATAGTAATACTACTACCACTACTAATATAATGCCTCCTGGCATTATAATACTGACATGCAAGATGTCCATCAGTATTCCAAAACAAAATCACGTTACAAAGAGATGTATATTTCTATACATTAATGACACCTTAAGACTCTAAGATGAACTAGGAGATATTTTTAATCCTCTCTACTTTTAGGCCATGATGAAACCAAAGCTATTAGCAAATTTGAATCAGGATTGATTATTCCTTCTAACTTTGAATAAGCCAGACATAAAACTTTCTACTTGGGAGACTCCTGACAGCTCTTTTGCAGAACAGTGTCTCAGATTGTAGTATGTTTATATCCAAGAGCTTGGTTTGGATCAATATTTACTAATGAAATGTTTTTACAATTGGCTACATCAGCATTCCCCTTCCTTCTATAAACACCACTCTAAGACAGAAACAAAGATTGTGACAGAAATGTTTGTCCTCAAGGAAAGTTCCCAAATCAGTTTTTCCAGAGTAATGTGGGGCTCAAACTCAGTCCTAACCAGAGGGTGATGGGAAAGAACCCATCTTTGTGAATTCTACAATTCTTTATTTTCTTCATCACCAAATTGCAATTTCAGACACAAAACCTATCTACTAAGACTTGCTTTGAACATATACTAATTTTTGGCCACAACTGCACATTTTTGCTATAAAGTGACCTTTTGCTATATAGCTGCCCTTCAGTGGGTGAGAGACTCATTGTCTTCAATTTTAATGTAAAATTATTTGAGGCTTCTTCCCCGTTTCCACCCACCACACCATCTGTGTGTGTGGCACCCCCATAGGAAACGTTTTGTTGAGTTTTCAGGTATAAATTTCAAATGGTGACAAGATAAACTGCCACAATGGTTTGTGAAAGCCAGTAAGCAATACAATTCCTGCTTTAAAATAAAGCAGCTGTGTCATTATACTGAATTCCTTTGGTTTCCAGTAACTTTTTATTCCACTTAGCAGCTCCTACCCACTTTCAAAGTTATCTTAAGTTAAAATAGTATACTTTTTTTCTACCCACTCACAGTGATAAGGAAAAAAATAAATACAAGTTGTGCTCTCACATAAACAAAAAGAAAGGCAGCAGCCAGTCTATATACTCTGATAGCAGCTGTCTGATCACCCAGCACAAGTTTTGACTTGCCTGGTGAGGTCATGGTAAGGAAGCCCAGGAGTCAACAGGACGGGAAATTCCAACAAATAAAGTCCTTTGGAAATTAAATTTAAAAATTTACGCTATTCACAGAGTTACTGGCTTGTCACAATTGCAGCTCATTTTCTTTGTAGAAAAAGAACAAATTGGAAATGCAGCTCTACTCTCTCCCTTTTGCCTATACATAGACAGCAGCTGTTTCCTATTCCATCATCAACTATGAGCTCAAAACAAAGTGCCATTAACTACAGCTCACGACTGCTAATCCCAGAAGAAAAAACTTATTTTCTAAATAGCCATGACATCAGGGGTAGCATCATGGAGAACCCAAGGTCCTGGATATTCCATAAGGGTTATTGTTTCCCTTGAGGAAATTCAAACACCAAAAGACTGAGGAATCTTAGTATCACTTTGAAATAAAATGAGGAGAAAAATCTCAATAAAATATTTTTTACTTCAGGTTCCTTGAAGCACACAGTGTAACCTCTAACAAGCAACACAGACAAGTGGAGAAAACAAAATATCTCATAAGTTCTCAAATGCTTACCATAATATTTTTGCATGATACAAACATTAGTGTTATATTTAAGTGCTATGCTGAGCAGTGTAAACGTCTCATTGATTGTTGTGGTTCTCCTGCTTTTTTTCCAATCTCAAAGCACTTTTAAGTACTGTGAAGAACAGCAAGGTGATGTACCTCTGTAGTATCTACCTTTTCAAGGCTTTGATTAGAGGTGAAGGATTCACTTCTCTTTCTTCTCTTGCTTTCTCTATGTGTGTCTTAGATCTTCTGAGATAATTTATGCCTCTTATCTTGAAAACCTTTTTCCCACTGCTTGAAGCCACATATTAGAACAGGTTCATCTAAAAAATCTGCCAAGGAATGCTCAGGTGAGCAACTTCCAGTAATTTCCTGTTGGTGACAAGATCTGGAACTTAGGAACTTTTTTTTAACTGAACTATAAGAAAGTTCAAGAGATATTAATCTCTTAATAAATACGTGGGATGAACAAACATTCAGCACAGTATACATCACTGTCAATGAATATTAATGGATAACCTGTCAAGCTCAGGTTGAATGGGGCCCTGAGCAACCTGATCTCACGGGAGGTGTCCCTACCCATAGCAGGAGGTTTGGAACTGGATGATCTTTAAGGGCTCCTATTTATATAAAGATCTTTAAGGGCTCCTTCCAAACCAAACCACTGTGCAAGTCTAAGAAAGATTTTGAAAGTGCTCATTTTAAAGTAATTCTGTGTTGAACTAAAAGTCATATACCATCCTTATTTGTTCAGGGAAAAATTTTCCCTTTTTAGATACTCCTTTTAATTTTAAAATCCTGTGTCTGCACTATTCATGCAAAAATCTTTCTCAACTAAAGCAAAGATTATGTCACAGCACAACTCTAACCCAAGTAAAAATCCTTCATGTTTATTTTCTGTACTTAAGGATTAAAAGGCCACAGAAACCACAGAAAACACAACCGGCAATGCTAGGACGCCTGTTTTGTCACCTCTATACACACCATTCATACTTTTAAATCAGCAAACAGACCTAGGTCTCTGGCGCTATTCCTAAAAAACGACAGGAATGGTAAATGTCAGGATTCAGATCACTGCTCAAGAAGCAAGACGTCGAACAACACATCCATTAAATCAGAGTGCAAATAGAAACACAAATTCTACCCTCACAGACAACGCACCGCAGACCCGGGCAATGGCCTCTACCCCACGGAAAACGCGGGCCAGGCCCGGGAAACGACTTGGGGGACGGAGGGGGCGGCGGGGGGAGGTTGGGGCGCAGACACGACCGGTCTGCGGGACTGCTAGGCCTACGGTG